AGCTACCCAACAAGAAATACTGCAAATTATCAACGAAATAAAAAGAACAATAGCCGACCTCAAAAAACAAAACAAAAAATTAAACCAACAGAAAATATGATAATAAATACCCTGCAAAATCAAATTTCTAAAGGCACGTCGCAAAGAGAAACGACCAAGCTCAATCTAAGCAAACACGACGGCCAGAAAGACAGCGTGCCACGAAAAACTGGAAAAATCCAGCCCTACGAGACCATCAGCGAGAAACACGAAAGCATGCAGTTTAAGACAGTCAGCTACACAAAAGAAGACAAAGAAGCACCATTGTCACACCGAGGTACAAGGCCAGCAGAAATTCAAAAAGGAGGACGAACAATCCTCGACCCCCCACAGCCGATGCAAGCAATGAAAGAAACCAACCATTTCCCGACCGGCAACGCAACCTAACCCAGTAAAGGTATATACCCACCTCCCACGAATAACTATAATCGATCATTCTACCCAAAAGACAATAGAACTAATAATAAAAAACAAAAACTTAAATCTAAACGGCAACTTCCAAATCTAAAAAATAGGAAACAATAAAGTAAACACCTCCATTATATGTATAGAACAGCCATCAGATTTCAAAGAAATAATACACTTACTAAATATAAATGTAGTAAATTAAAAGATAGTTACAGTTTATTTAAATAAGATATATACAGATAACAATTAATGATTAAAATTAACGCTAAACAAGTAAACAACTAAACGACTCAGATCCGTTCTCGCGTCAGTAATCCAAGCAACAATAATCCCTCTGGGGAAGTGCATTCTCTTAAAAAGGGAAGCATCTCGCACACACTTTTCCACTCTTCCCATGACCACACTTGGTCATGTTTGCCGTTTCTCAAGGCTCATCACCACCAACACTTACCCCCTTTCCTCGAGTTGGCCTCGAGCGAACCTAGAACACGGTCTGGGCCTGCTAACCGCATGGGTTCTTCCGGAGGAGCCTGCGCTACAGCCTTCGCTAGTTATTATCCTCTTTGGTCTTACTTTACCCCATGCGGTGCCTTTCAGCATAAAACTACTTAACTGCTAAAAATGTCCAGATACTACATAAATAACTTCAACTATTTCACATACACACCAAAATAAAAAAAATTACAGATATTCCTCAGAAAATATCTAGAAGGTAGCTAAGAAAATGAAACAATATTAGCCAAATTAAATAGACAAAAAATAGACCGTATAAAATTCACAAAAATCAACGGATTCCATACGAAGCAATCAGTAGCGAATAATAAAATACTCCAAATCTTTACAGCTCATCTAATCCTAGACAGCAACATTAACAATCTAGCACAAATTGATAAAATATAATACTCCATCGATCCATTCGTTGGGAAAATTAAAATCTAACGAAACGGTCCAGTGTTAGAACTGTCAAATACTAGGACATTCTTCGTCCAAGTGCAACCTTCCATTCAGGTGTGTTAAATGAACAGAAAGACACGAACGTGGAAATTGTAAAATTAACAGCTCCAACAGTGAGCAGGCGCTAGAAAATAAAAATAATATACAATGCATATTATGCGGAAACACAGGTCACCTGTTCACCAGCATCGCATCGTACAGAGGGTGTACCTTTTTCACCAATCACCATTCGACAACTAAAAAACAAAAACTAGATAAGATAAAAACGAGAGAAGCTAGAAAACCCCAACATCGCAAACATAGCCAAGTTATTATACTATACAGGGTGTTTCGTAAAGAGTGTAACACCTGGAAATGGGGGGTTGCTGTGGTGACTCTGAATAACTTTTTCCTTTTCCAAAATACAGTTTGAAGCTTCGTTTTTGAATTATTAACGAAAAACACTGGTTTATACAGGGTGTCCTGTAAAGAGTGTAACACCTGGAAATGGGGGGTTGCTGGGGTGACTCTGAATAACTTTTTCCTTTACCAAAATGTTGGTTGAAGCTTCGTTTTTGAATTATTAACGAAAAACACTGGCCAATTACAGCGCGCGTAGAGCCCGCGCTCAGGGGCGAAGAACAGAGGCTATTTTCAGACCTTCGCTATTTTCTTCAAGATTCCGACTAATTGCAGTTTTCTCAAAAATTTATACAAATGTCAGAATGACGGCAAAAACCCATTTCTCTAAGCCTTATAAAAATAGCGGTGCAAAGTCAAATTTTTTGACAGCGATCGATAACCGAATAGTGACGCGTACGCATTTGTTCGATCGCGCGGGTGCATCTCTGTTCTTCGTCCCTGAGCGCGGGCTCTACGCGTGCTCTGATTGGCCAGTGTTTTTCGTTAATAATTCAAAAACGAAGCTTCAACCAACATTTTGGTAAAGGAAAAAGTTGTATAATTTTGAATGCATTAGTCGATTCAGCTCTTTGTAAAAAGTATTAAGGTATTTATGTCGAAAAACCATTAATTTAGGAAATATTTTATACTCAATATTGCAAAGTGGTACTGGTATAATACATCTATCTGCACCTGTATTTTCTGAATTGACAGTGGGCATTGTTTTTTACAAAATAATAGGAGGACAATGAGACGAAGTTAGTCATATCACCTATATGTATGTTTGTAACAATTCTTAGTAGGTGCACTTGTTAGTTACGTGCAAATCTCACTTAAAGTGCGCGTATCTTTATGCTAACAAGGAAGTACTTAGTTTGTTTTAGATACCAAGGTGATTCCTTTAATTGGGTATCCACAAATCACGTCGATGCTCTTAACTCTGAAAAGAAATACAACTTGTCAATGTGTTCTCTCAAGTCAGAAAAAGAACAGTCGTTGATTCTTTGCTTTACTACATATATGGAAACGTAAATATTTACACTATTTTGTAAAATTTCCTAATTTAAATACCTCTTTGTTTATAGTTAAAGATATTTTATTAAAAACATTTCTTAACAAGAAAAAACGATTACTTTTTATGTTTCAAGTCGTGAGAATTATAAGGAG